AGAAATTATAACCAGACCAGGTGCGTTTTAGGTTGAGTTAAGGTCACCCACTATTGATAGGTTTTACGATGTCTTGAGTTCACTTATCTCTACCTGCTGATGATTTTTAACAACTGTATTGAAAAGAAAAACTATTTTCTTATTTTATACAATTTTTTTTTTCATGGAATAAACGCCATGTCAAATACTATCATTACAAATTATTTTTGACAAAATATCATTTTAAATAGAAATGTTATTCATTTTCAATGTTGCTCAGGGTTTATCCCATAAAATTACAATCGATTTAATTTTACATAAAATAGGAAAACAAAAGTCCTATATTTTTAAACTATATTAAAATGGTATTAATTTAAACTTCTATAACCATATTCTTATTTTACCCTAATTTGATTAAGATTAAAAAATAAAAACAAATTATCTAGGTTAACCATAAATTTGAAATTACATTATTTTTTTTTCAACTTCTGATCTCACTTATTGATAAACAACCATAACTATTTTTGAAACTCTACTATAAATACCAATTTGTTATATAAAAAAAAACTTAATTTAAATTACTTTCTACTCAATTCATATTTAATTTTTTGTTATAAATATATCTAATATTATATATATAATATTATAATGTGGCAAATAATATATTTTTCGAAACATCATATACTTTAAGGATAATTAGGATTCATGTCGCATGTAATATTTCTTGTAAACATACTACATGTTGTATATAAATAAATAAATATAGTAGCCTTGTACGTGAGATCTTCTACAAATCATTCACTAAAATATTTTTCTGATATAAAAACAAAAACCGACACAATGTATAACACTTAGAAAATGACAGACCAAAAAAAAACCAGAAAATTTTAATCAAAAACCACCTACCTTCATATACCATGGGTACGTACATTGATCAAATTATAATGTAGTAGGAGAACCCAATTTTCTTGTTTGAAAAATCTCACTTATTGTTGAATAGATGAGTTTTAAACAAAATACAAGCAAAAATTAATAATAATGTTGTTATATTTTAAGATGCACATACATCCATATTTATATGAGCACAATCAATTTTAATGAGGTTATATAGGGGAAAAAAATTTATACCTTTTTTCCTTTTTCTTTTCAATTCTCTGCTCATATAATATAATTTTTCACATTTCATCTTATAGATTTTTGGTAACATAGAAATTTCCAAAAATTGGTTCATTTTCTTGTTTGCTATTATTTTGTTGATTAAGAATTTTAGCAATCTTATGAACCATAAATAGAAGAAAAAAAAAAACAAGAGCTACAACAATAACAAATATAAAAATTGGGACTCTCTCTGTATCCAATTACATAATGAATAACAGTGAAATAATGATCAATTTTTGTCATTTTAAATTCCTTTCAAAAAAACCTTTATGATATCCTTTTTTTTTTAGAAATAGATAAAAAAAATCCAATAAATTAAAATAATTGTGAGGCCCTTTAGGTTTTAAAGGGAAAAAATCCAACTAACAAGAGTATACACTATAATGTTGAGAGAAAAGATCACTTCCGTTACATATTTTCGCACCTTTATCTCTACCCTAACATTCTAGAAGATTGTTTGATATTTGAGTTAGTAAAAGTTTTTACAAATTTTCTTCACTACAGGTCTATTTTATACAATAGTAAAAGGTAGATTGGAAAACTTTTTTAAAATAATTTTTTTTTTCTTTTTTTGAATTAAGATTAAAATATAAATCTTAATAGGAAAAATAAAGTTATTATCCTTAATTTTTTTTCTTGAATTCATACAAAATGTTTCGGTAAAGTGAAATTATTTTGTTATATAAGTATAACACTTTATTTGAATATTCGTGAAATGTAAGAAAATTAAATTTTTTGAGGCTTACCTTAACACAGCGTATATAAAAGAATGAAAAGAAAATTCAAGAGAATTGAGGGTACTAACATGTGGGTGAGTTCTTCAAATTATTTATTGATCTTTCAAAATAATTTTAAATTAGAGTAAAACCAAAAGATTAGAGTAAAAGAAGAAAAGTTTGCGACGAGGTGGATCTAATTCCAAAGATTTTATAGAATAACATACCATAAAAAAATAATTTTATTTAGTAAATTTCTATAATTTTTGTTATACTAAATTCAGTTAATGAACATTTGTGCGAATTTTTTGAAAACTTCGATGATAATCTATAAATTTTGAGATATTCAGTCTAAATTATATTTTAGTATCTTAGTTTAGTATATTACAGCTATTACACTTTATGATGATGAAATGAAGCTATGTGCTTTTTCATAAAAAAACCCACTTAATTTCAAATATTACTCATAATTGTTTTAAAATAAAGAAGCAGATTAAAAAAAATAGATAATTTTCAGGATATTAAAAATGGAACACCCTATAACAAATTTATTGTACACCTATACTTTAGCAACTTTTTAAGTTTTGTATTATAATATAAAATTTAACTTATATAAAAAAATGTAGAATAACGACAACAAAAAAATTTATTCTATATTTAGTATTAATTTTTGTTGTTTTCTTTTATTTATTTATTTTTATATTTTTCGTATACTAATATAATAATGTAGTAGTTTGTGTCTTGTGTTTTTTTTTTCAATGAATACTCAACAGGAGTCATAGTAATCCTGTCCTGCATTTTAATGATTTTCAATAAAATATGTATACATGTTTATGTAATTGTGTATATATACAATATTTTGTTGTTATTCTATTATTTTTATATATTTTTTTTTTTGAATAGTGTATATGGGATTTTCCGGTATTTGTCATCACTCTAATACAGAATATAATATTCAATTCGTACAAAAATAATAACGTACAACACTATATACAAATAAGTGGAAACATAATATATATATATATATATCAACTTACTATAATTTAGTTAAAATTATTCAAGAATAAAGGTTCAGGCCAATAGTTTGTAAAGTAGCAGTTTTCGTTGAACAAGTGAAAATACTTTTATATACCAAAATATTTTAAATGATTGCATATATTCAGGATGAGACAAATTGGAAGGTACTTTAAATATTAATCGAATTCTGGGGTTAATTGCATGCATTGAGATAACTATATTTTTTGATAGCATGGTATTTACCGTCAGATTTCTACCATTATAGAAATTTGCTCTTATTTGCTCAAATAAAATTTTGGAGTTTCGGAAGTATAAGGTGCCGAAAATTCAAACTTTACTATTTTAGATTTATGGCGATAAATTGTTTTCCACGGAGGTGGAAAGAAATTTTCTTTTAACGAAATAAAGTATACACCAGTGTCTAAAGACTGCTAAAATTTCAGACCCCTATTTCAGAAAACTTCGTACGGTCGGACGGACGCAAGGACAGGGTGAAACTAATAAGCACATTTTTTTTTAAATTTTTTTTGGAAAAGTGCTAAAAACGGAAATCTAAATGAGAAAAACATAAAATTTTCAAGTGTTTACAGAATTTTAGATGGATACGATAATGATATTGATGGTGAATATATTGTCCTTTTTCGACATGTTATGGTAAATATTCAATTTTTTTGCCTTTTTTTCTTGATTATGTATGTATCTCGTAATTCTTATGTTATCTTTTATGTATGATAATTCTTTTCTATATACAATTTACATAGAACTTTTCATAATATTATGTATATCTATAACAATATACACATGGAATTTATCAGGTCCTGATGATGTCCTTTGAGTATAGATATTCATTTTTCTAAAGATTTTTTTTAAGTTTCTTGTTTATTTTTTGCCTTTTTTATTTTGTATAAGGAAATAAGGTAGTACGTGCCATTTATTTATTTATATATTTATAATATTATATAAATGGATTTTGTATAATACATAATATAACAAAAAAAAAATAATTTTTGTTTCTAGGACAAGAAGTCCTTCTATAAAAGTCCCTTAAGAGATTTTTCTACTTATATTGTCATTGACTTTTATAAAGACGTCGAAATAATATACAAACAATACAATAATAATATCCTAACGTAATAATGCTCCACATAATGCTAAGCTTTACTTAATATTAAATTAAGAAATGTATGTGTATGTGGGTTGTCAATAATGAAATCCTATATACTTTATCTGTAACAATTTCTTGTTCGTAATATAGTCTAATACATTACACATATGCATATGTATTATCTTATATTTTGTTAAAATTGTGGCTATATTTTTGTTTTAATATATGTATTAAAGGATATCTTAAAATGCATCTCCAATATTATAATATATTTTTTTAATTTTGTGTATACATATAAGAAACTATTATTCTAACAAAATATCTAAAAACGTAGAAACTTTTTTATTTGTAGATATACATATACCTAGTACAGCTGTAAGGTGTAAAGCAATGCTCTTTTCTTGGGATTTAAATTTCTAAAGAAGAAATCAGGAAATATAAGAATCAATATACATTTTACAATATTGTATTTTTGTTGAAAAGTTTAAAGTTTTGAGAACTTTCTAAAATAATCTGGAATAATAGAAGAAAAATGGAGTAAAATTGAGAAATAGAAAATCGTATTGTACGAAATAAATTTTTAGATTTTCATTTTTTGAAAATGGAAACGAAATACGAGACAAAAAGTAATGCATATTCAACAAAATTGAAAAGAAATGTGCTTGTTAGTTTCACTTCATCACGGTACCCGCCTAAAAATCTGCTTTATTAAGAAAGCTTTATTAAGAAAGAAACAGTAAAATGTGCTTCTTTGCACACCATAAATCGGGATCCGAGAAATCAGTGGGTCTTTCTAAAATGTTAATTTTATAACCATATTTTATAGTGTGCAATATTTTTATTAAATAATTGGTACTTTGAACGTTACTCTTAAGATTTATTATATCAACGTATAATGTAGTGTTCTAATAAGAAAAATGTTACAAAACTTTTCGAGCAAATAGTTTATTAAACAAATTATTTAGCAGTCTAATGAGTCAGTATGATACTATACAATAGTAAATTATATTAGAATATAAACTTACCCTCTTGTTGTCCCTGAATTTCAACCAACCCGACACAATAGTCTGATCTGGTTGAGGTTGTTCAACAATTTCATCAGATGATATATTTTCAATTTGATTTTGATGTGTTGCATCATCATTTGATAATGGATTTGGACTAGTTGAACCACGTAAATTACGTATTGGTGATGCAAAGGTTCCTGGTTCACCAATAATACTTTTAGCTGGGCTAGCACAAAATATTTGTGTCCCGGTATTATTTACCGGATTTTCTTTATTATGTATACGTTGTTGTTGATGTATTGGTGAACTAAATACACCCGGTTCACCAATACAACTTTTTGCTGGTGATGATGTAAAGAAAAAATCTTTTCTTTTAACTTTTGGTGTTGTACTATTTGAACCGGGATAGTTTCCACTTAAATTTTGTTGTTGTAATTGTTGTGAATGTATTGAACAATTATTTATATTACTATTGTTACTAGAATGTCGATTACAATTTGTACAATCAGATTCAACACGACGTCTTGGACCATCTTGAACATCATTTTGATATAATTGATGATGAATGTGATGCTGTTGTTGTGATTGTTGATGATTTTCTGGTGATTTTAATATTAAATGACGATTTAAATTTTGTGATGAATTTAATGTATTACAGGATGAACAATTACTATTATTTAAATTATTTGTTGTAGATTGCGTTGTTGCTGTTATTGTAGTTGATGATGTTACCAGTCTTGATATATTTTGATTAACAATTGCTGTTGCTTTACGTATTAATTGTGGTGATGGTTCAACAGAGCTACTACAATCATCTGAATCATTTGGATAATGTGAACGTCTACCACATAATGGTGATGGTTTATCTCGTATACAACCTTCTAATTTATCAAGTCTTCTATGCGGTAATGGGGAATTATGTGCACTATGACTACCAGTTTTAAATATAAGATTATTATGTTGAAAATGATGATGTAGTTGATATTGTAATTGCTCTTGTTGTATAATACCATGATGATGTTTACGTCCAATATTTGGTGTATTTTTACATGATTCAGATGTATTTGCAATCGGATTTGTTATTATATTAATTTTATGTTGCCTTTGTTGTAGTTGTTGCGGATTTGATTGTTGCTGTTGTTGTTCTTGACAACGTGGTTGTTCACTTATCGGTAAAGGATCGGACATTATGTTGTTAAAAATTATAATATTGTTAAATAATAATAATTGTTAAATGATTCGTTGAATAAATGTTGATGAATATCTGATAATTTCTTCAATGAAATTTCTGAAAATATAAAGAAAATATTTTTAAAGTATTAATATTTATAAAATAATTTAATTGAATATAATTAAATTAAAAAAAAATTCAAATTTAAGCTGTAAATAATTTAATTATAATAATGATAATGAGATCTACAAGTATAATTTTGTATTTTAAAACTTTTTGAATAAAGTCTTCAACAAATCGATTTCAATAGACTCATTCTAGTTTACTAGTTTTCTTCATTGTATTACGATGAATTTGTTAATTATATGAACAAATGTAATTATGTACGCATATTAATTTTAATTTACTTTAAAGGATTTATCTGTATTGTAAATCGGTTATTATTCCACTTTAAAAAGTCTCAACATTTGGACAGACTTCTGTGAGTTTATGAAATCGCTTTTTTTTTAAAAGTCGAAGCGACAGTATAGTTTCTGAGTGGAAACGAAATGTTATTTTTTCTCTATATTTGCTTTATGAATTTTAGTAATTCTTGTAAAAAGCTCTTAAAGAAAAATTTTCTTTTTCTACAATTTTCAAAATAAATTTAAATTCAGTCCATTTTCTAAAAAAAATAACAAAAATGAATCTTACTTTAAATTTATCAGAAATTCTACCTTATCAGAATGAGAAATTAGAGGCCATATAGTTGGTATATGTATACAGACACCAACAATATATGCAAAAAAAGCAAAAAGAAAACAATCTAACATGCTCTCACATATTGAAAGTAATATTTCAACAAATTCTTCATCATTCTTTATATATTATTATCCTTTCACAGTCAGTACTTAGTCTGTCTTTAGTAAGAAACAGCCTGATTTTACTTTTCATTTACTCGTCCTTTACAGCAAAACTTCTTGTTGTTTTTTTTCTGTAGAAATTGTGAAAAATAATATTTTTAAATTTTTCATTCTGTCTAGAATCTAAATTTTTTATGTGCATATGTACATACATACATATATAAAGCATTGTTTCAGAGTAAGTTTAAAAATTTCATCAACATAAGAGAAGCAACAAGAGTAAAAATGCAAAGGAAAAAAAATTATATAGCAAGAAAGTCTTTTTTTGTTTTTTTGACTCTAATATTAGAAAAATAAAAACTAAAATGAAAAATTGCAAGAAAACAACAAAAATAATATACAAACGTCTAAAAGGATAACAGCAACAGCAAAAAGAAAATCGATTTACTATTCGTTCTTCCTTACGTTCAAAGAACTTTAATGAAGATATATATCCTTAAATGAGGTAAATAATATTAAACAGAAAGGAAATGAAGGCATTGTAATCTTATATATATACGCAGTCACATTATATGCATAAATATGTGTTTGTATGTACATAAAAAGGAACGCACTATAAAGAATAAAAGCAATTTTTTATGTTAACCCTATGCACAAAAAAATAAATAATTTCTTGAAACAAAGTAAACACTGCGTGATCCCGAGACAGTGAGTCTTTATAGAAATACACTGGTACTCCTTGTTGTAATACGCTAAATTCACCTAGAATTGTCATCGAAGTCACTTTCATTTCGTTACAGGTTCTGCAAGTACTTTCGCTTTTCAACCCCAATCCCCTAATATAAGTTCTAAGCCAGCAGTATCTCGCATTCTCACGTAATTCCTACCATTACCTGTTTTTATTTTGCTATACCGTTTCTGGTCATATATAATCATTTATAGCAGGAAAAAATTTTATTTATTCCGGCACACACAATTATTATAAAGCACACACAGAAAACAATGACTGCTTTATGGTTTAAAGTCTTCAACTATTTTGCAAATGCTCCTTCTCATCGTGCTAGTCTTTTCCAATTTTATAAATTTTTTCTAAGTTCTTCTATATTATTATACATTTTTGGTTTGTTTTTAATTTTTTGTCTTAGAAAGATTAGAAAAAAAATAGTTTATCTTTTAAAAACACTAATTTAATGAAATATAAATAAGTAATGTTATTACAATAGTTCACATACATATAAATATCCATACAAATCCAATTAGTTAGGTTAAACTTGCATACATATACAAATATTTATCCATATAGAATAGTATAAGCGAACGTTCATCTTGAACACAAGCGTAAATCTAAATAATAAAGAATCAATTTTATTAACATCAGATGCAATTAAAGGATTCATTGGATTAAAATTTATTAATATTAATGTAGTTACACGATGTATACATACACTCGTTTACACTTAAATTACATACCTACGTATATGTGGAAACTTTTTGTTTTAAATTTTTATAGGGGTACAAAGCAGACATTGAAAATATACAAGGACTTTTAAGGTTAATCTAAAATGAGAGATGTAGAAGAACCGGATGGTGGAGGAAGAGGGATAGGGAGAAGTGGGTGTCAAATGAAATAGAGTATAAAATAAAATTTGGCTGTACTCGTACCTATTTAGTCTATACTCAATACTTTCATTATATTCTTAGGCAAGTTAAATTCTCATTAGTAAGTTTAGTAATGACCCTCCATGAAAATGGTACCAAAATCACTGTTTATTGTGGTTACTCTTATTTCAATAGCCTTGCTTTAATACTTTCTTCTTTTATGGTTATGTTTTGCTTGTTCTACCGGTATATAAAACACGTCAAATAGCCAATTCCCTATTCCAGTTCCCCCCTTCTCATTTTCGGCATCTTTCTTTAATGTATTTTTTATTTTACCTTTAATCAAATTAAATGAAAATTCAAACCCATAAGGCATGATTTTAATGAAAGGAGGTTTTTTTTTTTGTTTAAGTATGTATATACGAGTATAACAAAAGGTCCGATATACAGTCGAATAAATGCCTTTTCTTTTTGTTTATTATATTTTTTTTCGGAAGGTCATTAAATTTTGTTCATACTTTTATTTTATTTTTATTTTCTCTCATAGCCGTTATAGAAATTTATTTTTTCCATTTATGAATATTGACGTCAGGCAGGGCTATATATACTTATGTAGTCTACATCTAAATGCGACGTTATACCCCTAATCTTATTTCTGGAAAACAGTAATAATAGCTTTAAGGAGCCTAATGAGTTTTCATCTTCATCAATATTATAACTTACACTCAGACTTTTCTTTTTTTTATTATTATTATGTTAAAAACGTAAAATATAATAAAAAAATGAAAATTAAATCTATGCATGTGTATAGATTTTGATATCCACAAATAACCTATAAAGGAATCGAAACATTTGTGCTTGGGGCGAGAGGCGGAAGGTAAAGGGCGACAAAAATAAAAATTTTTGTGTACATACAATATTGTGTACTTAGTGGAATGGTGTTAAAAAAACTTAATATTAGATACCATGTCAATGAAGGGGAAGGAAGCAGTCAAGTTAAAATACAATATACGCCAGTTAACTAATTTTTTCTTTCTTTTTATTTCACTTTTATTATTATTTTTTTCTGTCTCTTTTGCTCTCTTTTGTTTTCTTTCATTTACTCATTCATTTGGTAGTCTAGAAATAATAATATTTTGTCCCGCACTTGAAATTGAAATTAAAGAAACGGGAGGTGAAATTATTTTGTATGCTGCAAAATTTGTTGTAAGGGAATACTTTTTTAACGCTATAGACCCAATATTATTGTGTTATTGTGTATGTATATGAATGTATGATGCTTTAAATATTTTTAGACTGATAAGATATAATATAGTAAATTTATTTTTAGATAATAATGATGCTATGATGGAATTTTAAAATTATAAAAATCATATTATGTCTTTTGATAATAAAACGAAAGAAAAGCGGAGGATGTGAGCTCGATTAAATTCGACATAAGATCAAACTTAATAAAAAACAAAATATTGGAAAAATGTAAACAAAATTAACATGAAGCTTGAAAGTATAACAAAATATTAAATTTTAAATTTAATCGATTAAATGAAATTCAAAGTTAGTAATTTTTTTTAGGCTACACCAATGCGCAATTGAGAATTTTCATGAAAATTAAATCCAGTTCTATTTACTAAAGTAAAAAAAAGAAGGAAATGTAGCCTGATGTTTGGAAAAGTTTTTTCCGGAACTTGTAAATACTCCTCATTTAGATGCTTGCTCATATTAGAGATGTGAAATTTTTCAATCACGGTATATATTTTTCGTTCAACTTGAATGTGCTCCCAAAAACTGGTGAAAGTATAAAGGTAACACACTTTTTCTAATATTCAACAAGGGATGTAAATAAAAATTTCAGGCAATTTATGTTTAAACGTAATTACATCCTGCTAAGAAAAACTGGAAATCCAATATGAACATATTTCTTTAACCCATTTTAATTCAATTGGAAATGCCATCAATTTGGTTAAAGGTAGAGGGCTCAAAATCAGTAGCTGAGGTTGTTAATTAAAATCTTCTTTTCCCATTTGAATTCAATTAGAAATGCTATCGATTTGGTTGAACGTCGAGGACTCTACCTCTAAAAAACCTCTAGTACTGATTTTGAGTTCTCAACCATTCCCAATAATAAATAGTTTGAAAATTTTTAACAAGAAAGTTCTAAAGGGACTTTCTCACTTTGTTTACACACTAATAAATATTTTTTTTTTTAAATTTTATCAATTTAAGCTTAAGTTTTCCTTAAACCATTTTAAATTTATTAAAAATTTATGTAAAGCACATGAATAATTTAATAATAATTTGTAAGAAAATAAAAAATAATTTTCGTACATCCACATTCGAAATAATAATTTGTATACAGATACCTAATTGAATTATTTTTTGCATTCATGAAATATTTTAAAAAAACATAATTCCTATTATCGTTTTTGATATTTTAATGAAAACATTTACTTAAAGCTTATGTTCATGTTTTTCGAGAATTATAATAAAAAAACAATTTTCTTTTCTTTTTTTGAGAAACTATTTTCCCACCTTTAAAATTACAATCAGCAGTTAAATATCATAATAATGAAAAAAAAGGAATGTTTTGCTCCTTTTTTCTTCCTATAATATAAAAATTGAATATGAAAATAATTATATAACAATAGCAGAATGTAAAAAAATTATATAACAATAGAAGAAGAGTGGGGGAAGAGGAAAAAATAAATTATGTTTTCATGTTACTTATCATTCAAAATGCTGATAAATAGTTTTGTAACATCATTTAATGTACATTTTAACACAAATTTTTAATATAAAACCTGAAAAATATATTACGTATGCATACAGTAAGAAAAATATTTCCTTTCTCCTACACAAAAAATCACACATTTTACATTTCACTTGATTTCTCAGATTTTTTTTTTTACAAACACCAGAAAATAAAAACAAAGAAATACAAAATAAAAATTACAAAATTTCACGCCATCTAACGTTAAAAGAAACCATTAAAAAGACAGTCAAAAGAATAAAAACTAACTACCAACATTATTACAAAAAGAAATTTTTTTATCGATTTAATTAAGTCGTTTATATTATGTTTTTATTCTATATAGCTATGTCCATTTCATGTCTGGAAAAATGAACGCTAAAGATTAAAAACTTATTATTATTTAATACTCTGATTACTTATTTGCCGTCAAGCAGTCTCGTGATATTTTTAACTACATTTCCTACTCATTCCAAATTAAAAATAAAATTTTGTAAAATTTAAATGTAAGCATAAGGTGTGAGAACCCTCAGAAAGGGTGTGAGGAGAAGGAGGAGTGGGAGAAGAATATTGCAATAAAATGAGTCTCCTTTTTTTTTACTATGACTTTTGTTTAATAATTTAAAAAAAATTATAATTTTATACTGAACAGATATTTGTATAAAACGAAATTTATATATTTTATGAATTCTGTACGAGTTATTACACGAACATTATCCGAATATTTAATAAATGTCAAAGTATTGGAGATTCTGGATTAATTAATATATAGGGCTGCAGAAAATTACAATTAACACATTAAAGTAACAGTACTGTTTTCTTTAACAGCAGCAATATTAATTCGGTCTATCTTTGCTAACTCATATCGACGTCAACACTTACATGTTGGAGTTTCAGTCAGTCGAAATTGGATATTGCTATATGTAGGTTCAGTAAATTATAATATTAAAATTGTTCATCTCGTTTAATTTGCTGGTTAATTTCGGAAGATTTATACAGATAACTGCAATCAGGTGCATAAAATACTCCTTAGCTATAAAATTGGTGAGCTCGATGAAGCTGTTTATGCGATATGATCATTCCAGACCAAGCATATCTGCATGTATAATTTTCGATACCGTATCTTTTAAAATTCAAGTCAATCGAATTACTTAATATTATACCTTCTATAATTTTTGAAATGAATTCAAACAAATTTTGAAGTTGTACGGTAGATACCCGAACCACTGGTTGGCCCATATCTGATTTGAATTGGATTCTGATATTTACTATAAATCATTTATAAAAATTTGATAAACGTAGCTCATTTAGTTCTTAAGTTGTAGCTGGGACGGACGAACATAGATGCTAAATCGACTCAGAATCCGGATCTGATCAAAAATATATGATCTCAAATCGTTATTTATTTACGCTTCTAAAAAGAGTAGCAGAGGGTATTATAAGGAAGCAAATTTTATAAAACATCTCACCAATTACATCATTTCTGTATGAAAATATTTCAATAAGCCTGTTTAAATATCTTTACTAGTCTTTTAAGTCGATTAAAATATGACAATGAATTTCCACATTTTTAAATTAAATTTTCAAAAATTCATAACTTCCTCCTTTATGAAAATAACGGTTCAATATAGGAACATTAAAGTTAAAATCTAAAAATAACTTTCAGAAAAATATAATTTAATTTTTTTTTTGTTTTTCTTATATTATCATATTTATAAATCCATTTTGATATTGATTTTCCTTTTTTTAAACCCTTTAAAAATTCGATATTGTGTTTGTGTCGGCATAAGGGAAATTTTATCAATATGCTGGCATTCTAGTAATAAAAATATGAACGAACCAAAATATCCTTTAAAAAATAGAAAATAATATTTTCTACCCTAATTTCCAGTTATCAGCCTTCGACACTTTTAACTCATTATATAATTTTCATCCAAGCTACTAATATATGAAAGCTACTCAACAAAAACAAAATATAAAAGAAAATATTACATTGTTGCGAGAGAAATCTACAAAAGGGTTTAAGCTCTAGCTATAGCTAAGAGTTTCTCTAATATTTTATTATTAACATTATTATATTAGTGTTTTCGTGTTTTTTTTTTCTTTTTTTTTTCTGAATGAATGGAAAAACCTTTTTTCTTTCATTTAATATAAATAATCGTATTGAGAAAATTTTATCCAAGCCAACAAGCAAAGTGTCAACATGAAAAAGAAAAAAAAAGGCAATCAACATATGGAAAATAGGTCACGTGAAATGACACTGTCACTAGCTACCTATTATAACGGTACAATAAAGACAAAAGTCCTCCTTTTCAATTTTCTCTTTTGTATATTTTATATTTTTTTTTTACAAACATACAATATTTTTATTAATATACATTTATAAATAGCCGCATATACTCAAAGGACATGAGAAAATTTTACAAAAAGGAGAATTGAAAATAAGAAAATTAGAAAAAAAGAAACAAACATATGTCTTTAACAGAAGGAGACAGTAGTATTTTGAAGATTAGAAAGGACGACATCTAAGAATACTTTATATATTATAAAAGGATCTTTAAGGAAATATTATATTTAGAAGATGGAATATACATTCTATATAAAGGAAATGACAACACGTCTTAAGACACAAAATATTGAGCGCCTAAAGGCAAAACAATAATATGCTGCTCTAGAATACACACATTATTATTTGACATATTCAATTTATAAATGTTTAGTATATACAAATAACAAAAAAAAATATAGCATCACAATATCAACATCAGGCAATTGACACTAATATTAACGCATACATCTAGTGAATATTAGGCAAATATACTGTTAGTAGGCTATAGAATCAAAATTATATAAAGCTCAAATATCTATAGAGCTTATTTTTTTTAAACATTTTCATTTCCATTGTGTTCATTTTTAGTAATAAAAAAATTCCAACACAACATTAAACACTGAAAATTATTCTGAACTTAACTGTTATGTATTATTATTAAAATCCGAATGAATTCGTTTAATGATCCGAAGAATAAAAAATTATATTTCCTACCTTATATACTATTGTATTTCTTAATGCTTATTTGTATTGCGTTATGTGTGTTATACTCTTGCTCTTTAATATGAAAAAACGTTTTACGTATTTTATTAAAATATAGAGAGACTCTCCTATATTTTTTTTATTCTGTTATTTTCCCTTTTTTTATTTTGCTTTTTGTTTAATAAATAATGGTTCATTCTTAATATTCATGCCTATATTATTATACAAACTTATATCCATAGACGAAGAGTACAATATTATTAAATATATACCCTAATTCCCATGAATAAAATCCTACGACATTAAACTAATTTAAAGTTTAGCCGAAAATAATATGAAAGAATTTAAGATTAAAGTCTCTATAGCAGAAGTAAAATATTTTTACTATGCTATTGCTATAATAAGTTTAGAATGGAATCTTTAAGAAGTGAATTATTGGGAAGATGAACTATAATTTTGGATATGAATATAAAAATATTTAAGAAATAGTACGAAAATATGAATTAGAATTATGTAGAAGAGTACCTTATGTAAAGAATAAAAGAGGGTACTTGTAAAAGAGAGTGCTTAAAAAAAAATTTCATTTATAAAAATCAATTATTGGTTCATTTTTAATTTTGTATAAGGCATTAGATCCTAGGTTTCGATCTGAATTTTGTATCAAAAACCAATGTCCTGCTTATTAGGTTGGATATCTTACAATTCGATTAAATAACATGTACCATCGAAATTCTTCATCCACTAAAAATTGCAAGTGTTTCCACTTTCCAGACCCAGCCTACTGAGGGCAAGTTTATTTATTAGCCTGCCCAATCCTATAATCTTTTTAAATCGCTTCAGGTCATAATCACCCAGCAAATCGCTGGCGTGCCTTAGGCTTGGAAAACTTCTTCAACACTCCGACCACCTCCTCTCTGATTCTTTTCTTAGATCCCAATGAATAGTATGTGACCCGATTTCGCAGAAGAGCTGCGAGTAAAGGAGATGTGAAGTGGTTTAAATAATTCATTTTAATACATATTAATATTTTTATATTTTTGTTTTTTAATGGTGCACCTTGTAATGTAACAAAATAAGGTATTTTTTGTATACAAAATATTTATTAGAACACATACATTATTGTATTTATTATGATGAACTGATATAGATCGGAATGCGGTAGTGTGGTTAATCAGTTACATAATTGTATTCAAAACGACCAAGTAATTTTCTTGATTGCCTATTTAAACGCACGTTTTAGATTCCAATTTTCTTTCAGACTATTTTCATATTATACACATAGTGTGTATAATGTTATACTATGTTATGTCGTAGTGTGTCGTAAATAATAATATTTTGTTGGCATGTATAATAGTATACCAATTTAGTATAATAAAACTTATATCCTTATAATGTTAGTTAGAAAATATCAATGTTTGACTTTAATGGTTTTTCGTTGTATTCATGTTAAATTATATTTTCCATTCAATAATAACAGAAAATAAAAAAAAATGGAAAATATTTTCCCTAATTTTACCTAATATTAAAGTAGAAATTTTCTCAAATTAAATTGAATGACTTCATATTGTGTGGTTTAGTATAATCCTATAAAAGGATGCTAAACGGTAAAATTAATATTAAATACAAAATAAATAAATAAAAACTAAAAATAAAAATAATTATGAATGGCAAGTTTTTCTCTACATAGTACAAATTTAGGGTAAAATCTTTGATTGAATTATTAATAAAATTTAAAATAATCATATTACCGTCTCATTGGAGTATATTTTAATAAATAGTTGAAATTTTAAATTATTTTTTTCTAATTAAAATTATTTGTTTAATTTTGTTAATTATTATGAACGAAATAGTGAAATAATAACATCTTCCTCTAGCACATTAACCCTTTACTTTCCTAAATCAAGTTGACAAGATTTACTTTTGGTAAAATTAGAATAGAAAAAAATTTATTATGGTAGCTATGGCCGGAAGAAGTGCTATGTTTAAAAGAAAATAGCTGGGGCCATATTATGTAATTCGAATTTCGTAAAACGACTTTTGTATTCGGAAGTACCAATCAATTTGTATAGTATTCCTTTCCATTTCAGCAAAGACGAAAACCGTTTCACGAAAGTCGAATTGCATAGTATGACCACTGTACTGGTTGGCTCATTCGGTTAATTAAATAGGTATACGTTTGCATTACAGAATACCACATTAAATTTTGAAAAAATCTTATTTTACGAGAGATTAAAATGAACATTATCACTAAATTAAAATTAATTATATTATAATTATAATTTATTGATATTTGAAACTATTAATTAAAATATTTATATAATAGCCACTAATACACATACCACTTAATTATGATTATTGTAAATATATTCGGCTTACCGATTTATGAATATTTAAAATTTGAAAATAATTAATTATTTAATATTTGATCATAATTAGCATTAGATAGTAATAACAATAGTTATAATAAAATTTTTAAAATATAATTTGAAAAACTTCTAAAATTTTGAATAAAAAAATAAAAATTATTATTTTTCATAAATTTATTTTACATTTAAATTTAGTCAAATAACATTTTTATCTACATACTTATTCAATACTGTTATTGTAATTATTATTTTATTTATTTTTATTGGCATCAATATCTTCTAATTATTATTTTATAAAATAAAATCAAAAATTTATTATAATTATTGTTGTATACCGGCGAATCATTGAAATAATAAACAATTCATTAGGCTAAAAAAATAATTAGACATTATGATGATGTACAATGTGGGTGTGATTCGGGTATAAATGGGAATTTAAACAAAAAAAAAATTTTTAGTTTAAATTAAATTATGAATATTTCATGATATTTAAAGTTAATTTCATTATTATTTTATGGTAATTAGGTAATAAACGGGTATAAAAACTAAATTTAATAAAGAATTTTTAAATAAAATATTTAAAGTTCAATTGAATATTTTGTAAATTTAATATTATTTTTGTTTTATCTACAGATTAGCATCAGAAAAACTTTGGCGGCATTAGTCCACTGTATTATACCTTATACCATATTTTTTGAAACATTTAAAACAATATTTTTATTTTGTGTGGCAGCTACCATAATCCGTTGTTCGATTTAGTCCAATTAGAAAAGCAGCTTGACAAAAAAGAAATATTTTCTAAAAGTTTAATAATTTATTCATGTTTGTTCCTTTCTTTTTTAGTCACTTTATTTTATATTTAATATTTTCGTGTTTTATCAAATCCAATATCAACTTTATTCACTCAATCTATTTCTGAAAGCACTTTTCCTGATTGATGGAAAACCTCATTCATACGAACTGATGAAAACCTCACTCATACGATCTGTATATAAAAAAAGAAAGGAATAATATTGAAAATGACCATCCGATAACATTTAGCTAAATCATCAAACTGTCTAGCAGCCCAAGACATTTGAGTTAATGATCTATGATGTAGTTTATACTCGTAGTACATTAATAAAAGAGAAATCAACATGGGATTTAAAAACTGAGGTCTACAGTCCCCAAAGTTTTTGAATCTAGTTTTAAACTGAATCTAAAACTTTTAAATAAATTTGAGGCCGAGTTTCAGAGTAATGTCATTTATACTGATCTAAGCAAGGTCTTCGATTTGCTGCTTCAAGAGTGTAAGTGGGTAGGAACCAGGTTAGAATAGTCACGAATCTCAGTATTCCTATTCTTAAATGCCCAATCACTAAATTGCCATAGTTTATAATAAGAATTTTTCAAAAACATTTCTCAATTAACAAGGTACATACTTATATTTCATACTTAAAGTATAAAATTAGTATAAAATAGCATAAAATTTCATTCAGAATGTTCAAATAATTTAATTTTAGTCACCATAACAAACTATTCGTCTCATTTTACTTTAATTAAAAAAATTGAATTGGTTATCCTTTTAAAAAACTAATTTATTAAAAATATTTTAATTTAATATGGCTGTAGTACTTTTGATATTTTAGATTTATATAACCAATGTTAAATTCATTTGAGGTAATTTACGTTTTTAATGGAAATTAGCATTTTAACTGATTAGGTATGTGCTCAGTTAAAATTCAAAGTATTTAGAAAATTAGGAAAATTAAAAATTCTACGTGGTACTCTTATTCTTTTAATTATAAAACTCAATACATTTTGTATTTTTTTTTGTTGTTAAAACTTGAATGTCACATAACCACACTAAATATAGACATAAAATTGATTTTAATTTCTTTCTTTATTTTTTTCCTCCCAACTATAACCTATTAATTTTCTTTTTCAATACTATATTAAAAACGCTATATTCCTTTTTAATTAAATTACCTTAAATTTTATTTCTAACTGATTAAACACGAATTCATTTATATTCACTACGTTCAGGAAACATTTTATTCCTAGCATATAGCAGAAGCATAGCAGCAGTAACAGCAGAAAATATAATTACAATTGCACCGATGCACACCTATTTGGTACATTACCTATATAAATGCAAAATCAATATGAAGCTATAAATAATGGCTTAGAATCAATATACATAATATAATATAGATCCTTAGAAATATATTATACATAATGTAGTTTTATGTGCATCCTGTATGTGACACAAGGTTTAAAATTGATTCAATGCTATTTTTAAAAATGGAAAAGGTAAAATTTCTAATATAAATAAAAAAATAATGAAGAATGGTCGCAACAAAATTCATTTTTTCCGCATTTCGTTTTACTTTTTTGAAAGAACAAAAAAAAACATGAGTAAAAGAATTCAATTTTCATCTATTTCCTTTTTAACCATCACTTCCGTAGAATATTTTCCTATATAATGTCTACATTATATACAAGAATGGCGCGGACTTATGCTACATTGACTGATTTTATATCAGAAAATTTACCATCAAGTATATGCATGAACTGTATGGGAAACATAGTTTCATATACCTACATAAACAAAACTATTATATCTATAAATATATATAAATTTGAAGGACATACTTAAAAGTTTCAAGGATAATGAAATTTTTCTGTTTTAGAAATTGAAAATCAGAACGAAAAAGCAAAATGTATAATTGACATTTAAATTAAAAAGTTTAACAGAAATCAATTATATTTAAAATCGCATATTATAATTTATAAAGAGACACAAAACACTGTATAACAGTTTAATTTACAGGTATACCAACAATGTACGTATATAAATTCGTGAAATTTTCATTAATTTTTGAGAACAAAATATATAATTGATTTTAAAAAAGATTTATACAGTACTTATATGTTGTCAAATTCAAAGTTATACCTACAAAAAATTTATTGGTTTTTCTATGTTTATTTGTAGTTTTCAATCAGAGATGTCTTTCAATGGATCAAGTCAGTAAAGCCAAAATAATGAACGATTTAAGTGATGAAAGCAATGTTCTATTGAAGTATAAATAATATTCAGCTGAGTTCAGTAATTATTTACTCTTGAACTGAATCAGATTCAGAAACTATACTAGTGCAATATGGAACTCAAGAAAATTTCTACTACAAAAGACTGGTCTTACGGGATAAATGTCATTTAATGGATCAATTCTAGAAGTAAAGTACAAATAATAAAAGATTTGAGTTTAGTTGAATTCAGTAACTATTTACTCTTAAACTGAGTCTGATTCAACAATTGGATTATTGCAATATGAAACTCAAGAAAATTTCTGCTACAAGATATTAAGAGGAAGTTTTTCAATAAGGAGCCATTTTCCTGAGGTACAAATTGATATCAGTGAATATTTAGTTCAATATGAGTACATAATTTAAGTTTTCTCTATGGTTTTTAATAATACCGATCGAAAAAATCAAGCTTATTCTTATTACATCTAACTATAATAACATTATAGGTCAACGGAAAATTTCAAAATTAATTGAATCAAAATGTATACAGTATTTCCATTCAAACTACACGACTTCTAGCACAAATTGTTCATTATGTAAGGCAAACAGCAAACAAAAAATCAAATTATCTTCATAAATTAAACTTTGCCTTTCAATTCTTATTTTAATTTAAAATTTATATTAAATAAAATTTTCCAGACCTCTTTTCAAATCCAAAATTTACTCAGCATAAATTTATATAAATTTCTATTGAAAAAGTTTTCCTTATTTTCCGAAAACAAAAAAAAAAAATGTTTCAAATTTTCAAAAGTCGTTGAAAAATACTAGAAAAAAATAGTAGTGTACCTAGATTCTGTAATAAAATATTTGTGTCCATTCAACCCTTATGAATAGGTACACCTGCATTCAATTTTTTTTTTCATATTTATATGAAAGAAACCGACACTATTTTCTAGAATTTTATAATATAATTTTTTTTTATTTAATGATGATATTTTTTCCATTTTCTATAGAATTTCTGAATTTTTATTACATTTGAAAAGGATAATAAATGTATTTTGTATAGTTAGAAGTATGGCTGTGAAATTTCAAGAAAAAATTTATTCTTTTTTTAACCTAGAAAACTTTACAATGTATATAGTGCCACTCCTTGTATACAATACGAATTTTTGAGACTTAATACAGCTGTTTTAAATTTAAAGCAAAATCCATGTGCTGTAGCTATATGAGAATTTAGTTTTATTTAAGAATATCATGTTTCAAGTAATTAATATTGAATATTGATTAAGTACTTTGTTACATTTATAGAGAAAATATCTTTTTTTTGTAAAGTAGGATGTAGTTTTCTTATAAAAACTGCATTATTTATGTGACCACATTTAAAATTAGCATGAAAAGAACGCATATTATGTATTAATTAATTAATATTAAATTTATTTTGAGGTCAAAGTTAATTTTTACAAAATAATTGATTCTGTAATTTGCAATTAATTATGCAACTAAATTTCAGTTAAAACTGAAGGGATATGTAGGATCATGTATAAAATTTCAAAATCAATAATTAAAAATCCAAGAAGCGATTAAAATATAGCCAATCATAATAAAAAGTATCTATGTAAAATTGTGGTCACTAACAATAATTATTTAACCCAAATTTAATAGCTGATAATTTTATAACAAAATTTAAGTTCTTATAAATTTTCAATTATTTTGATTAATATTACCAACCTAATTGATATCAAAACAGCCACATTTGGTTCCAGACCACCAGGCCATCACTTTTCGTACGATTATAGGTCATCTACTATATAATTTAATAGAACGTTAAAGGAAAAGTTGGTTGATGCTTTGTCAGTTTTCAGTACAAATTATCAACAAGGACTGTCGCATATAGAGTATATTAATTTTTATAAGCATCCTGTAAAATCAAGTGAACGTATTTCTCTAAGTTGTTTTTTTTCTATATAAACTAAAATCTAATAAAAATACAATTCAAACGTAGTGAAAAGTAGTGAAAAAAAAAATAATAACTTCTACTTATATGCTTCTAGTTTTTTATTTTTTCTATATGTTATGTAATATCAAAATGTAATAATAAAGTAAACATCAAGAATAAATATAATTTAGTAAAGCACAATGTGTACGAAAAACGGAAACTTATACAAATCTTCAAAATACAAACACAAAATAAAACTTGTAGAATTTTAACTTGAAATCATACCACGTCTCTACTTTAAGTTCATGTCTTTTGTAGCAGCAGAGTGCTGATACATGCGGGATGACGATGATGAGAAATGCAAAAGAAAAAAAAATTCTAATAAGTTTTTATTATAGATTGCAATATTTTAGATGTGTAGATTGTATTTACGACAATACAAATGTAGGTGTATTTTTGTGCATGAATGACATAGAAATTGATATTATATATTTCGTGTTTAACATGTACAGAAACTAGATATTATTCTTGAGTTAGAATATTGTAGGTCTCTGCATTTTATGAAGAGTGATAGCAATAAAATTAGTTTAATATTTAACTGAAAACGAACTGAAAATTTTTATAAAAGCAATAGATTAAATTTTGTATACAAAAAAAGTTTACGAAAACGTTAAGGATTATAATTTCAATAAATTTTATTAGTTATTTTGTGTACTTTCACTTGGAAATGCAATCATTTTCTTCTTTGATAGAGAAATAAAATATTTTAAATGAATTAATTATAAAATTCTTTATATATTTTAGGAATATACTAAATTGAAGCTTTAATGTCTTATATGAAAACCCGTAAATATATTCAAAAACGTCTGTGTAGAAGACAGTTTAAATGGAAAATGGATCAGACAAACAAAAGTAAACAAGTTTGGCTACATAGTCGCAAAGCGGTCTTATGTTTACAAATAAGGGAAGTGATATAAGTTAGAAAATAATTCAAAAATTTCCAAAAATTCATAATGAAAAACGAAAATTATTTAATTTCAAGATTTTTAAACATAAAATTATCATAGTTATATTGAAACTATAATCGCAATTAGTTACCGCAATATTATTAAATGTGAAACGCATAAATGAAATTCTAATTTGTCCTTTGAAAGATTATTAATACATTATTAAATTTTAAATTTACAGGCTTCTATTCAGAAACTAACCAAATTTTTTTTCATATCAATTTGATTAACGCTTCACAAATTTAATTTACCACATTACACTCTTTTTAATTTAATTTTAAGAAACTAAAAATCTTAATCTATACCAATTAAAAAATCATAATTGAAACTCTAATAAAATTTATTAATTGACTTTATTAAAGGTTCTTCGTAATGATCCTTTTTTTGATTTGGTGTTTGTATAAAATGTATACACAAACTAAAAATGAATCATTTCAGTATATTTTTCAAATCCATTCCATGTAGAATATGATAGGTAGTTTGGTATGAAATACTTATATTAAATTTTCTAGATGGTACGTATGGGTTTAAGACAATTTCGGATATAATACATACACATGCACTCAAACTCGTTTAACATTTTTAAAGCTTTTTATGATAGGAATACTCATATGGGAAATGACAAAGTCCTTTTACCAAAAGGAAAATAAGACAAAACATTTGTCTGTATTTGTGTGTAATAAAAAATAATATAAAACTATAGAAAAAAGCAATAATAATGGTATTCAAGGGCTGCAATGCACCATTCATTCATAAATTTTTTGGTTTAAATTTTGCAATTGTTTTATTATTCTTTGAAATATTTTAGGACTTTTCCTATTTCATATATTTTTTGTACTTTTTGGATAGAAAATTTTGTGGTTTCAATTTCTATCTTTATTCTTGAACACAAGAAAATAAAAAAATCTCAAATAATATTCTTTTATTATTTTTATTATCCTTTTTATGATTTATAACATTTTATTCAGTTTTATTCTATATTGTAAGTATCAAAAGGAAATAAATTTCACGTATACGAATAAAACATTCTAAATCCCTTTGGATATAAATCTATGTATTATATAGAAAAATAAAAAACTAATAAAAAATGAATAAAATTTTGAAAACGTGAAAGTTTTCTATTTTTAGAGAAGAATTGAGAGACTAAACGTGATCTTGAAAATTTAGAAATACAAGAAATTTTTATTGCAATTTAAAATTCTAGTATAGTTTAATATACGTCTAGTCATAAGATTCTGAAATGTTCAAATTTTTTAACATTTTCATCTAACTGTAATAATAAGTGTGTTAGTACATACATATATGTTAAGTAGATCAACATTATTTTTAAATTTAAGCAGCTCAAAAATTTTTTATAATATGACAATGAAAGTTTCATATTTTTGTGTATTAAATTTTTTTTGAATAATGTAAATATTTAATTTTAAAGATTCATTAACAAACTTAAAATGTAATTTTTTTTTAGTAAAAATCAAGGTTAACATTTTACTATTTTTTGTCATTTTAGTAAATTTTCAAGGAGGGCAATCACATTGATCACAAATTAATTGTGAAAATTAATTTGAGAGAAAATCAAATCATTGAGAGAAATATTTCGGAATTAAATAAAAAGTACCAGAAATAGATTTGGTAAAGATTTAATTTTATTGATGAAATTTTAAAATATTCTAAATTTAATTTAAGTTTTTTTGAAAATTTAATGGCAACCTAAATTCAATTTAATGACAACTGAATATTTATTATATGAGTCAATTTCCTTTAAATTCTTTAATTAAATGAAAATTTTAGCTAAAAAAATGTGTAATTTTTTTGTAAAAATTTTTCAATTCAGATTTGTTTTAAGAATTATAGTAATTTATTATGCTTTTTTACTGTATAATGGGACGTACTCGTATGTTAAAGTCGTGTGATTGAATTTAAATTTTATTATGATATTATTTATCATTAAACCATATTGAATTTAGAATCTCTCAATTTAGATTTCAGTAATATAAAAAATAAGTCATAAAATTTTATTTCCAATTCCTAATCTTTTACATTTGCCAAATAATTCTACAATTTTTCGTTCGTTTCTGTAATCCTTAAAAATATTTATAATTAATTTATAGATTGGTATTTTTCCAAAATATTAATCCCTTTTTAAATTTGAAAAATAAAATTCAAATATTTTACATTTTAGCGCGATTATTTTATTGTATAATAATTTTTGTCCTTTAATCCTCCATCTTTTTTTTTTCAATTTTCTTTTCATAACTATGAAGCCTCAAAGAACATTCTATATAATAATAAAGTGGTATTTTGTACTTGGTAATTTATCTTCACTTGTCCCAGGTCCTTTTTTTTCTATTTTATTTGTTTCTTTTGTCCTTCTGGTCCGTTGTACGAAAAAAATTTTCCTAAATTTTTAGATTTTATTATATTTGTGTTTGTGTTTATGTATAATTTTTCTTGTTCTTTTTTATTATTGAATTAAATATCATTGTATTAAAAGGTAGAATAAAATATGAATTGAAAATCACAAAAGATTTACAAAGAAAAAAAAGAGGTACAAGTGGGAGACGATCTGGAAAATATGGCAATTTTTTATTTGTTTATTTTTCCTTTATTACTTGTATCAAGAGAAGAAAAGGATATTCACTAATTTGTTCAGAACAGAAAACTTTAACCATTACATTATAAGTGAAATTTTGAAAAAAAAGGTCCAACAATTTTTTGAAAAAATGTTAATGTTTTAGATTTTATTGCCAAGATACGGTTAAAAAAAATAAAGAATTTTAACAATTAAATGACGAACACAGAAAATTTAATGATGTAGAAATTTTGAGTAGAAAAATATTTTATAATAGAAAACAAAATTTAAAATTTAAAGATTTTTCATCTTCAAATCAAAGAGAGTCTTAATGTTCGGAGGTATTGTGCAAAGAGTTTTACGACTAACTGCTGCTTCTATTTGATTATGAATACATTTTTAATATGAACTATTTGTTTTTTAATATTATAAGAATTTTAGATTTCTAGTTTATTCCCGTAAAAAAAAACATTTTAATTTATGGCTATTACCGTCGAAAAGCAAATTTTAATAGCAGTCAAACATATGAATTTCTCGGTTTACTAAGCTCAAAGTTTTTCATAAATATTGGAGACCTACTGAATACCTTATACAAATTCTTTATTTACTTCTTCATAATTTTCACTTTCTTAAGAATCTTCTAAGGTTTAATTAAGTAAAATAATTTTGTAAGAAATATTAAATTGGCTTTGTATTTTATTATTACCAAAATGATGAAACCGCGATTACCCGAATCACATAGAAAACTTGTATTGTATGATTGAGAGTAACCCTTAATTTATGACTTTTTCCAAATTTTTTTTGGGATTTTCGGTACAAAAGCTGAACTATTGCAAAATATTAGTTTTTTTCCTTTTAAAGATGACATCCTAAATTTTTAAATTCTAAAAAAATATTTTCTTAAAGATTCTTTAAAAAAAAAGCACACATAAATCGTAACAAAATAAAAATTGTTGTCCTAAATCTATATTTAATTTGCAAAAAAAAACAAAACAAAAAACAACTTGAAAAAAAAAATTCCACAAATATTTTGAATTGAATTTCTCCAAACTTAACCGAAATATGACGGAATATCTTTTTATACTTTTCTAAAGAATCCTTGAGAAAATGTTAATAAAAACAAAAACAAAAAATTTGTATAATTTTAATTATATAAAAAAAAATTAATTTTTTAGAGGCAGGATAAAAAATGTTTTAATAAGGCAAAAAAAAACAAAACACGATCAACCAAAAACTGAAAATAAATAAGACAAGAGAAGAAGAAGAAAACAAATAAATAAAGATTTTCCAGAGAGTGAAAAACTGATTATCTAATTTTCTTTTTAGAATTTTTCCAAATTTCTTCTGTTAAAATTTTTCCCCACTTTTTTCATCAGTATTATGTGAAAATTCTCGGATATAAAAAACAAAAGCCAAACAAAAGAGAAAGGGGTAAAAAATGAAAATTTTTTTATTGTTTTTATTTTAAGAACTTTTTTTTTATTGAGTCCTTGATCCTTATCATTTCTCATTTGTAAAAACGTAAAAAAAAGAAATCTTTTCTTTGGGTTTGTTTTAATTTTTTTTTTAATTTTGTTCTTATTTCTTTTTTATAATAATAAGTGTTTGAATTTTTTGCAAATTTTAAAGTGTTTTCATTTTTTCTTTATTTCTCTTCATTATAACTGTAAAAGTGAAAAAGGATAATTCCTAATTTTAATTTTTGTATATTTTTTATTATTATTATTTTTCTTTCTTTTTCCTTGTTTATTCATTTTGTATTTCTTTTTTACTTTCCAGTTTCTATTTGATAACCAAAAAGATAATCTCAGCTCAAAAAATACAAAGCTTTTCATTACTCTTGTATGAGAACTAAAGATTTTATTTATGCATGGAAATTGGATTTAAAAAAGTTTTTTTTTTGTTGAAAATTCAGCGACGATTCATCGAAATTTAGAAGAGTTATGCCTTATTAAAAATAAGAAAATAATAAGAAAAGTTATGCAAAAAAAATTCTGGTTCCTCAGCTTCAAAAACTAATTCTGAATCATTCCGAGCTGAGACAGAAAAAGAGAAATTTGAAATATTGAATGTCACGATATAAACCGCCAAATAGTATAATTAAATATTAAGATTAAAAAACTTAAGATACTCTTGCAATTACGATTACTTCTAAATCAGTTAGTGTTGATTAAAATATTAAGAACTAATTGGTTTTTTTTTTTTTGACAGAAATTCAATATTTTCAATATTTTTTTTTGCAGAACTCATTGTTCTTAAGTCAGAATCAAATAGCCAATCAAAATATTATAAACAAGTTGTCATTCGATCTTCTAGGCTTGGGCGTTCATCCAGCTAATTTGAAATTTCGGTCTATTTCGTGATTATTTGTTTGAAAATGATCAGCCACTGTGACATCCATTTTGCAAATAAAACATAAAACCTAAATCAAAGTCACATGGTCCAAGTTGCAAACCTGAAATTTGTTACAACAATGTCATTTGACTCAAATTGTACTGAATAGAATTGTCAAAAATAAATTATATGACAATAATTAGTGATGTCTAATAAAAGTTCAAAATTATGATCCGAAATGCAAATTATAACAACAATACATATAAATATAAACATTGCTCGCAAGTATTTTATCTGTGCAAACTTTGTGAACACGCTTGCAAAATGGATGTCCCAGTGATTCTTATAATTAAGCACGAAGTTGTCTTACATAGAACTTTCTTTTTTTTTCGAAATAGCGATCTCTATACCATATCAGCTCATTCATTTATATGCAAACACAATCTAATACAGGAAATTTAAACCCTAACTTTAAAATTTAAATGAATTATAGGTTTTTTTGTATATTAGGACAACATTACACAGCAAAAAAGAGAGAGAACAAGAGCAAAAAAAAAAACAGTTATTATGTTGTTTTTATTATATTTCAATGTTTTTTTTATTAAAAGTCTCATCTTTGCCGGAAGGATAATTGGATTATAATTGAGACTGAAATGATTTTTTTATATGTGTTGATAATATAAAAACAAAAAAAAATATTAAAAAAAAACAGGAAGAGAAAATAATAAAGGAAATTTTTTTCTTTTACTTTTTGTTTTTTTTTTCATTTTTCTATTCGTTTCTTGTTAATATGAAAGAAAATGATGATGAGTAAAAATAATATTATAAAAATAAAAGAAAAACATTTTTAGAAAAAATAATAATAATAAGCAAAAAAAATTATGAAAAAAAAAACAGAAATCCTGAGAATTATATCCTTAAGGAAAATTAAAATCAAATTATGATGAAAAATTATTATTATGACTTTAATAATGTTTGATACTAATAATATTTGATAATGATTGTAACGATGATGATGATGATGTTGATAATCATAATAATGATGTCAATAAAATTTGTATACGTACATAATTGTATAAATGTAAAGGAAAATGTAAAACAAAAACTTTTATACTGTTAAATATTAGCTTTTAAATTTTATTTAAAATAATTTACTTGTTGTACAAAAATACTATGTTCATGATATTAATATAAATATGATATTATTACAGGGTGTCAACAACCCCAATCTAAATTTTGCGATATATTGTAAACAACTCAACTAGAGATAAACAAAAATAGAAATTTTCGGCAAATCCGAGGTGTACCAAACAATTTTGAGTACTGAGAGCTATGCAACAACCAATTTTCATCGAAAATTTTTTTATAAACAACATAGAATATGTTAGGTTTGCTTAAGGAATTCTAAGGAATGTTTATTCACAATTTTAATGACCTAGTAAACACTTATTTCCTGGTACATTGGAGCTAAAGTGAACATTAATTTTCAATCCAATTGCAGTACGTCAAATATTTTCAATCAAATCCAATTGGAAAGCCTCTGAATATTTGATTTTGAAGTTATACGAATATGAAGAACACGAGTTCATGTTAACTACAAAAGTAACGATTTTCATCATAAGAAATTTGCTAGATTATGGTAATCTTAATGAACTTATCCTAAAAGCATAAAACCAGGAAATTTATATTTTGGAAAAAATGTTTTGATAAATAATAAGATAGCAGATAATGAGCAGAAAAATTATAGTTTTAATCCAGAATTTTGTGCGAATCATATCAATATAAATATATCAGTACATAAGAATTCTTAAGTAACAAAATATCATTGTTTTTAGTATAGATTAAGTTGTATTTTATATATTTATATATTCATTACATAAAAAAATTTATTCCATGAGTTTTACAACGAAAACGTACAATAAGATAAAAGACTTCAATATTAAGCAACCGGCCAGGATATACTTATAATAGAAAAAATATTATTACCAGTCGGAGGTAAAAAATAAGTCCAGTTGTTTGGTTTGATGATTGAGAACAGAAAGAGTATATTAAAGATCGTTTCTCACAGATTAGATAAATTAAACTCACAATACTTTTTATTTTTAATCTGCGCGATAAAAATATTTACATATTTTTTGAATTAGAAAAATTACAATTGTAAAAAAAATATCTAACTGGCTTTAATTAAAAATCAAAATTTTGATTTTACTTAAATATACAACGAATTAGGAAATATTAAACTTAAATTTGCAATTATTTTCCATAGAGGTATACCCTGTATTTTTATATAAATTGTATTTTTTCATTGTTGCAATAGTCTTAATAAAATAAAATATGTAAGTAAATATTATTTCTGTATACACAATAATATCTTAATGACTTTTAATTAAAACAATTTAAATCAAGAGTAAAATTAAGAGTTCTGAAATTGTTATTTAATTTATAATGTTAAAATTCTTAGAAATAATTAATTTTAATTAATTACTAGTTGGAATACAAATAAAATAGCAATTATTTTAAAAAAATAATTGGTTTAAGCAAAAATCACATATATGTTACAGGGTTTCGAAACTAAAAAATGGTTAAGAATAGATAATTTTAACAATTATTTGAAAAATAAGCACTTATTCCTCATATCTTCTTGAAAAATTAACTAAAAAGGTCTTAATAAGAAGTCCTATTTCCTGTAGCAGTTTAATTCTGGGCTAATTCAAATATCATAATTTGTAATTTCATTCTTTAATTTCTCTTACATCCCTTATAGTAAGGATAAATTCTTTATAAATATTTTAGTAGAATATTTAATAAATTTATTTATTTTTACTTTAATTTTTTATTAGAATCTTGTATTTGAGTAAATAAATAATTTTGTTGTTTTTCTTATAATTGCTTATTATTAGAATTATTACTTTTTTCTAAACAAAATTCTAATAAAATGCAATATTATATATGATTCCCAAGAAAATTATATAAAATATGGATCAGAAATTTTTATATATTATGAATTAATAATTATATGAATTCACTGATTTGCTTATTTTATATGAGTAATGAAGCAAGTGGGATTATTATTATTTCTCGTGTACAAAAATCAATATATTTATAAAATATTTAATACAAGGTCAGTGAATAAGTATAATAAGATTCGAAATAATATTATAATATGTTATTTATATAATGGTTATACTTAAATTTATAAGAATATTATCGGATTATGCTTCAATGAGTATTTTAGTAGAGGTACATTAAGAAATTATAGATTTTTTTTTTAGTTTGATTCGCATGTATTCATTTATTTTCAAATTTATGTCAAGTTCTTGAAAGGGATGTCTTACTTTTTTCTGTATTTTTAATGTATAAAATAAATTATAATATTTCAATAGCGTATTAGGTAATTAATTTAATTGAATATTGATTAAAATTCTCCTAGGGCAGTGAATGAATTTAAAAATAAATGAAATATTCTAGAAACTAGATAATTTTTAATTGTAGGGTAACATTTTTTTATATCACCGATTTTAATTCTTCTCTCATTTATTATTAAATCAATTAAAATATAGTTAAGGTCAACAAAGATTTGATAATTATTGATTTACAAATTTCTCTAGAATCTTAAAACATTATAATTATGTGGCAAACTCGTAATATTAGAAGAAGAAAAAAACAAATCCCCATGTCGGACGCCAGCACATACATTTACACTTTAATACATAAAATTACATTATATTAACTCTTATATTATATAATATCTTCTCAATAATTTATATTATTATACCCTTTTTACTTCTTATCCTTTAGATTCTTACCCGTATAGCATAAATTTCGGAAATTTTTGTCCCATTAACATTTTTATGTAGTGTAATTAAAATACACTTAAATAAATACTGATTATATACGTATGTATGTAGATATATTATAGGTTGGCAAAAATTAAGAAAAATTATACTGTTTGCAATATTATTAATAACAAACACTCTTTAAGTATAAAAATAAAAGTCAATATTTATTCGTATTTGTTAAAAATTTTCTTCTTTTTCATTTCTTTTTTTTCTCGACTTTATGTTCAGAAATAAGAAAAATGTAAAGGAATTCTGTCAGATTCATTAATATATATAAATGTGCGTATGTATGTATAAGCATAAATTATTAATTACATCTATGATATTACAAATGTACACCCACAATATTAATTAGATTTTAAAAGTGTTGCCTAATTTTTATAACGAATGTTACTGTTTGGTTTTTTTATAATTTGTTCTTTTAGCATCCTCAAGGCCTTTAATGTACATATTTTCCTAATTTTTGTTTTGCGAATTTATTGCATTCTTGTATTTTGGGAGAGAACTTTTGCGAAATCTTTTCTGGACCTTCATATGAATCGACGAAACTGCATTGCGTGTTACTACATAAAATCATATTCGCTAATTTATATCGTTTCAATTACTCCTTGAGGATTTCTTAATTGAACTTAACTTTGTCAAATCCTATTAGTTGCTACAAACCTCTATAGTGCAGCAGTATAACATTAATACTGCCTCACTATATAGATTTTAGTAGAATTTTAGTAGTATACTTCTGACACTGAGTTACAATGATCTGACAACATCTGGCTTATTATTATAACATATGAAAAAATCTTCTTTAACACACATACTCAAATAAAGCAATTTTACTTTATTTTTTATTTTTTGTATATAAAGGATTTGTATATGAGTGTGCTTATTAAAGGATTTTTATTTTTATTTCTGGTAAACACACATTTTTATATTATTTTTTTAAGGATAACATTTTTCGTGAAGTTTAATTAAGTCAAGTTATTTTTATTATTTAAAGATTATATACATTGTGATTGTTAATAATATAAATGAAAAAGATTTTATTTGTAAGGAAAACATTTTCGGAACAAAAAAAAAACAATTTCGTTGTTTTTTTTTTTTTTTGCATTTTGCTGTAAAAAATTTTATTTTTGCAAGAGAAAAAGGACTTGTTTAAATAGGATATTCAGTATGTGTGTGTAGAAAAATATCTAAGATTAAATAATTAATTAGAGCAATTTTTTGTAATGAAGAATTTTTTTTAATTTACAAATAAGCAAACACTGAGCTTTAAGTCTAAAACAATATTTTAATTTTTCTGCTGTTATAAAACGTAATATGAACAACATTTCCGTTTCTATTACAGGAATTTTGAGGAAATTAAGTTTTTAATTGAGTTGAAATAGAAGTTATGTTAAAAATTTGCAAATGAGCTTTCAAAACCACATTTAATCATGCATCTATATGTAACACAGGAATAGAGTTATACGAAAAATTAAAGAATTAGCAAAAAAACAAACGCTCAAAATTTATTTTAGGCTCCCTCATATCCGAGACATTGATGACTGTAAACTTCGTATAAAAGTTTTCTCTTCCTCTGTACAATGATATATAGCAGACACCTTTGTATAAAGCTTATATTTTAATGTCCTAATTTGAAATTCAGGTATCCCTATCACACCTATGCCAAATCAAGCATTGTATGTACAAAGCTAAATACAGAAGAAAATAATCAACAATATAAAAATATTTTTTTTGCAAAATATAAATATTTAAACATACTTATGACAATTAAGGTCCCTAAAAACAAATTTTTTAATTAAATTTTGATTGTTTTGTATACCCACAATAATTTTATTGTATTATTAAGTAATTAACCTTTTAAGTTAATTAGTACAAAGTCACATTGTGTGTACATACAAGAGTTTACATACTTGGCTATTTACTAAACTTTTCTCAAATATTATAGTGTAGTGTTGAGTCAAATGCATTAATAGAAAAATCTTTAAGGAATTTAAATATTTATAGAAAAATGTTGAATGCTTATTTCTTAAATTTTTATATTTAAGTAGAATGAAATAATTATTATTTTTATCTTGCGTGGGGTTCAATTCAAGATATAGTTATAAATGCTAATAGTAAAAATATAGAAGTACTTGTATAATGTAGGTTTATAAAATGGATTTTGTTTTATTTCTAATATTTTCTTTATTCCTTATCTTTTATGGAAACTAATTTAATCTTAAACTTAATATATAGGTCAGTAAAAACCCCTAGAATTTTCATTCTTTTTTTTTTCTTTCCTTTCTCGGTCGTTTACACACTCACATTATACTTATTTACTAAAGTATTGTATGTAGTTAGTAAAAGTTTTCTTGAAACAATTTTTCCAAAATTAAAATTAAAATATCCTTGAGAAAAATAAAAAAATCTCGTTAGAAATCAAAACAAAGTTAATAAAAAACAATTGCAGGTTTACATACAAATATTTTTGAATATTGTCGTCCTTATTGTAAAAGCTTGTCTATATATTCAAATATAATTGTTTCATATGAATATGTGTTCTTGTATATATTCAAAAGACAAAAAAATTAGAATGGAAACCGTAATATAATCGTAAGTTTTTATCTTCATAAATATCCAGGGATAACTTTAATTCTATATGTCGTCTAATAGCATTTTTCGATATGAATATATTCAAGGATATATGTGTATGTGAGCAAATATATATATATATTTATATATATTATATATATATATATATATTTATATATATTATATATATATATATATATTATATATATATATATATATATTATATATATAAATATATATATATTATATATATGAATATATTTTGATATAAGAAAATCTTTAAATGATCTCTTAAAATGGAATTTATTTAAATGAAAAATTTTTATAGTAAATATTTGAGTTTGCGGTTGGTGTTTTTAGGTGCTTGATTCTGATAATTTCTTTAGTACGATATAATTTTAAAGGGCTATATCAATACATTTTATTTGATTGCATATTAAATCTGATTGTATTTTATTAACATATTTTGCAACTTGAATTATTACGATTCAATTTAAATAAAAGTTCTGGCAGAAATTTCACGAAAATTTTTACTTCTTCTAATATCGTACAGTATGTTTTATGGTAGTATAAGAAATTTAATTAATTATTATTAATTCATTAAAATATTATTTGATATTTTAACAATTTGAAAATATTTAAATTTTTAATCAATATTTTCTTTTTTATATTTTTAGATTACTTCTATCTTACTTGTATCATTCATGAAATAATTTCTTGGATCACATTTTGAATGTACATACCAGAAGCGGCTAATATTATTTGCGAGTATTTCAACTAAGATTAATAATTTAAGATGAAATCTTTTGAATTTTTTAAATTTCAATTTTCCGAAATATTTAAGTAATTTAGCTTAATTCAATTTATTTTTATAGGTTTTTCATACCTCAAAAAATATTGTTAGATTAGATTATAATGTAAAAGATTGTATAACAATTTGGTCAATTAATAAGTTCAATTGTTATATTTCCATAACATAGATAATATATATATAAAATATATAATGCAAGTCTATATATGATTGCATGTATTATAATAATATATTTATCAATAGCGTAGAATCGATCCTTTCTTTTCCTTTATTTTTCCTTTAATACTTATATATATATTGTACAATATTTTTATTTCTTTTTACTACATGTTCAAGTAGAATTCTACAACTTATATAGTTATTTCTAAATATTAAAGTAATAAAAATCAACTATACTGTACACATACTATTTGTATCAACTTTTATTATATATGAATAAGAAATGATCCAAATAGAAACGTACAGAATATATATATGCTACATAATAAGAAACAGTAAAAAAAAGGACATGTAAAGAATTGATATTGTTATACTCATGGTATATAATATAACAAAATGTACAATAGTTTTCTATTATTATTATATGTATTTCGGATAAAATAGATTTAACTCGACTATGTGTATATAGTTGGAAGAAAAAAAGAAACCCCTAATTTCTATAGGAACAATAATAACAAAAAAAAATCTTTTTTTTTTATTGTCCTTTTAAGGGATTATCTTTTTCTTTCGTCTTTTGTATATTACATATAATAGTTGTTATAAGAGAGTATAACAAATATATGTTGCCCATTCAATACCTTATAACAATAATAGATGAAAACATGAAATTCTTAATATTGTTAAAATGAATTTTCCAAAAAAAGGGGAAAAAAGAAGAATAAAATGTGAAAATTTTTATTTTTATATAAATGTACATACATATGTGTGTATATTTAAAATATTTATTTGCTTATATATAAATGTTTTCATTAACATTACTAACTATTTATATAATATTTCTTTACTCAATGAAATAAGTTCACTAAAAATATACATATATGTATTTCATTTCTAGGAACAATAAAATTAAACAGGCTGCTTCAATTTCGATAAATTATTTAAAAAATTGAAGTATTATATTAGAATTCGGAAAATAATTTTTGTTGCAAAGCTTTTAAATTGGTTTCCTCAAAATGCTTTCGAATGCGGATATTGCATATTTCCAAAGTATATTTCTATTAAAACAATATTCTAAAAAATAAACCAATTTAATATTATCAACTGACTAAAATTTTTTTATTATTTATTTTAAAAATTTTTAAAACAGTACTAAAAGATTTTTAAATTACTTCATTTAAAAAATATATTTTTGTTGCAATAAAATTGCATGCTTCTAGGGGCTACACAAAATTTTATGAAACAAAATTTTATTAAGATGTAATTCAGATTCGTTCATTACTTATTTCACTTTCTCTAAAGTAGATAATAAGTAAAATATTTTAATTATTACTAGTTTTATTAAATCAATTAATTATATTTTATATATTAAGTAATCTTTTAGGAAGGAAAGTAAATTTTTGTGTACTACCAGAAAAAAGAATTTAGCTTAGATCCCTTATATAATAAAAAAAAACTTTGACAAAATATTTTAGAATTAATTAAATTTTAATAATTAGAATAATTTTAGTTTACAGGTGCTTGAACAACAAATTCTTCAGACTATATATTACGTGTAGGCACTTTCCCAGAATATCATTTGCAAACAATTTACCAAATGTCAACGAATTAATTGTAAATATTTTTAATATATTTTGCATTCTTTACTTATATTACTATTTAATACTTTTCAATAGCATGCATATGATATTTTAAATGAAAGTAGTTGGACTAAATTGACATGATCGTCAGTGTTAGTGATGTTCTAGAAAAAGGATTATAATAATTCAAAAATCACAAAAAAAAATTATTAAATAATTATTTTTTTCATAAAAAATAACCCTATCAAATTAACATTATATACAAAAAATAATAATAAAAATATAGTAACCATAGGTACATACAGACAGTAATGACCACATCTTTTTTTCATGGGATTTAAGACCCAAAACAAAAAAATATAAAAATAAATAGAAATGCGAACATTAAAGCATAAAATCAATTTTAGGCTAAATTTTTGTTTTATTTAAATACATACTAAACATAGGCTCTTACACCAACATCAGCAGGTTATAGATATAAGTAATTCATACATATATACTAAGTTTCATCAATACAAGTTTATATATTTATTATATATATATAAGAGAAAGGAGAAGGATCACTTTTTGGTATTATGTTTTATATTATTGTTCTATATTCTATAATTTTCTTTCCTTTTTGTAGCCATTTTAACCATGAAACGAATAAAATGAATTGTATTTTTATGTATTGTACTGTGAATTGCTTAAAATGATCTTAAATTGTAATGTGAATCGATATATATATATTATTTTACTCATCTGTATCTGTAAATATATATGTTTAAATTCAAATACACTCAACATTATTCAGGCATTTTTGGATGTACATAAGCACATATTTACATTCCTAAATGATGTATGTAATAATATGAAAACTTATTTTGTAACATAAAATTAGAAAAAAAAAATTTACTATATGCGATAAACGAGGCCCATTATACATGAATGAATTTTATTGATATATGTACATAACAATACATATATTTGATCTACATATCCATATACATTAATATAATATAGTAATGTTGAACTTCCTATATCACATTTTATTTATATACGTTTAATATTGTACTTGTATACAAAAAAGTCTTTAAAAGAATTAAAGTACACATAAGAATGGAAAATGATTGAAAATTCATGTTGCATATTAAATTTTCTCTTGATAATTTCTGCTTATTTTTTTGTATTTTATATAAGATATGATAAAAATTTACGAGATATGTATATACACAATAATATTATATATAAATACACCCAATATATGACAAAGTCAATATATAAAAACTTATTCCTATACACAATTCAAGAAATTTTTGTAATATCAACTTGATTTTGAAATTTTATTAAAAAGAAAATTTAAGAAATTTTATTTAATGTCTCCCTATATACCCAACATTATGTACTTACTTATTTATTTTTTATTTTTGTGTATATTTTACATACACACATTTATGTAGCTATTAAAAACAAAAGAAAAATTCTTTATTTTCCATCAAAACAAAAAAACAGGATTCACTTAACCTACATTAGATTTTTTCTTTATAAAACCATGCAGGAAGAAAAAAAAAATAATTTTTTTTTCTCTCTACGTTGTTATCTGTGGTCTTTTCTTTATTTTATTTTTTTTTTTGTTTTTTTTTTTAAAGAAAATTACTTATTACAGTTCTAATGGTACGTGTATATAAAAAAAATCTGTGAATTCAATTGAATTCAAAACCAATAAATGTTATCAATTCCAATATATTGTTAATATTAAGAACAATCATATAAAATTGCAAAACATTATTTAAATATCTGGAAAAAATAGAAAATTTAAATCGATTTCTTGGGGTTTTCTTTAAATGTGCAGTTTTAAATAAAAAAAAAACTTGAATTGAATATCAATGTCAGTCAAGTATAAGAAGATTTTTAAATTTATTATACATTATTTACACTATAATTACAGAAAAACTTTCAAAATTTTGCTATGTAATTAAATCCTACTGATATTGTTAAGTCTAGGAGAAGCTCAAACAATATTGCAAGTTGTTATAGAAATGTTTTTAGATAAGTAAATATCCTCACATTATCCACTACATAATCAATCTCTATATCCTCAAATACAGACGTTTTATATAATCAAAATAAGTAAACAAAAATAAAGCAACAATTTCATTCAAAACGAATTCTATTTTCATATTTTTTAATAAATTATTGCAATTTTCCAATGTAAATACGTAAATGCAAAATAATAATCAATTGTATTCAATAAATCTAATAAATAGAAACTAAAAGAAAACAAGAAAATGTACTGTGAAATAAAATAAATATTGAAATCAAAAATTATGTATATAAGTTATAAATACAAAATAAATTTGTATTGTGTTTATTTAAAAGTAAATTATAAAATATTTCTTAATAACTTAATTATTATCTTGTTTAATTCATAACATAATTTGTATATATTTACAAAATACACAATATATTTATTGTATATTTTATATGCACAGAATAAAATTATGATTATTTTACTATAAATCATTGGTTAATATTGAAATATTCTCATTTACAATAATAATTACAATTGTTTTATAATATAAATAAAAGAACCCGCATGAAGATTTTTAAAACATAATTTAGGAAAAAGACAAAAATTTTATAAAATTGCTCCTATTATTTTCTATTATTCCTAGATAAATATTAAATAAAATGACATATAACCTTGTCTATAAATATTTAGATATGCTTAATGGTCATAAATGTTAAAATATTTTAAATGAATAAAATTAATTATATTTTGTATACACAATAAATGCAAATTATTGTAAAAATTTACCAAAATAATTGCGAATATAATTTTTATACAGTGTATTTATTCCAAAAATGGCCCACTTTTACATTTCTACTAAAACAATAATATTAAATAAAACAAATTAAAAGAATTTGAAGAATGTTAAACGGGAATTACTTGTTCACCTACCTCATTTACGTTATGCATGTAATACTAAAATGAAATTTTTGTGTGTTAAAAGAGCATGGCAAGGTAGGCAGAGTTTTTTTCCATTTTCAATGAAATTCACTTCTAAGTTCATAGTCAAATTTAGAAAATTTTAAAACAATTAATTTTAAATTAATGAAAACAAAAGCACCCAATTTTTCAAAAACCAGCCCGTGGTAATTGCAAGAATTATTGATATTTTGTAAAATTTACAAAAATGATTTCGAGACACAGAATCATCTAAGATTTATTCATGTAAAATT